TATCCAGGTGTGATGACAGTTACCTTAAATAAATTATCACTCAAATCATCAATCGACTAACTAACACAATGGTATTGTGAAAGAAGGAATGAAATCTCATCGCCGACATTAATGAGGTCATATTCGTTGTTTTTCTGAATTTTCATATTCTTTACTTATACAGGTGACGCTATGTTAGACATGGGTTATTCTTCCAAAAATTTGTCTGGGATGTTCTTCTCCACCCTGAACAGAGATAATGACGGGTGGGATGGTGATAACTGTGCTGCTGTATACAGAGGAGGAGGAGGCGGCTGGTTTAACGCCTGTAGTAACGCCTACCTTAACGGTCAGTGGCCGACGATGTTCTGGATCTCCAAATGGGTTCCTATACTGATTGCTGGTAGCGAGATAAAAGAGACTGTTATGATGATTAAAGCTCACTAATACTGTTCAATGTTGTTTTTGTCAGAAAATTTTATTGTTTTTTTTTTCAAAACCAACACAAATAAAGATAATTTTATTTTTGCTCTATATATCTCATTGACAATGAAAACACAAAAAGAATTATTCTCTTTTTTTAAAAAGATCAGTACTTATTCAATTTTAAGGGAAAAAATGATAGTTCATTATTTACATCAGTTCTATAATTTAAGATCAATGTTGACTTTTTAATTCACTGTACGTATTGGACTTTTAGATTTCATGCCGGACTTAAATACAATATTTATATCCACAACTTTTTCACTAGTAATAATAAATCTCATAAAATATGAAAAGCCTTTCAGTAGCTTGTTCTAGTTGCTTGAACGTTCGTTGAGTGAACGTCAATTATTGACCAGATAAATGACGGAAGTGAACAAAAGCAAAAAAATATACAATTACATACAATCATATAAATCATATAAATTAAAGCTGGGATAAATGCAAATAATAAATAGTGTCAACTTTGATATGATATATTGCGACTTAGTGCTTATCCCAGCTATTGTTATGATTAACAAGTTTGTGGCGTAATCAAAGAGGCCACATGGCATGCTAAATGCTCGCAAGACGTTTCAAGCCCTACCCAATGAAAGGCATTTCCTGAATAGTACGAAGCTTGTCAAATAATTGAAGCAAAAATTGTTATTTAGCATAACATTGTGAACTGAATAATGTGTACCTGTACAGAATAAATACGCATAAGCATGGAAACCCGATGTAGACACATAGTTATATTTGAATAAGTAACAACACAAGTAGAGATTTTTTCCAAAAAAAGCCTACCGTCTTTAGCAACAACTTAAACATTTAACTCATCTACACCTATTTGGCCGTATTATTCTTAAGAATTTCTTGATTTTTTATTTCTACATTAGCTTTTTACTGGCATAAGCCCAACCAAAATTGTCACTCGGTCATTTTCGTAAACGTTGACTGACCGAGAGCTTTCGGCAAACCTCGGCCGATTCGGTTGCCTTGTTCAAACAGGAAAGGGGAAAAGAATAATGCACTAGCATGGTAACGCATGGTTTATTCTAGAAGGTATCCAACAACTTTCAACAATTGAATTTAGTTCATGTTCTAAACCCGAGGCCATTAGAATAACAATTTTGAAGGAGGCACCATTGCATGTTGTTTATACTGAAACACCACAAACTGGGTGACACAGTGACGTCTAAACAATATCTACAGCATCTACAGACTCTGCTGCTCTATGATGACGTTAATGTACCATATCACCTCAGAGATATTTCATGGCAAGTTCTTGGTCTCTGTCAACAAATTACGTGAGAATACTCGGGATCTCTACAGTCATATCGATATTTGTTACAACAGTATCCATTTAACAAGATCAAGAGAGCACCTCTCTTAAGAATTAACACACTTCCTCACCGTCTACATATTGAAATGGAAATGCCAATTGTTTTTTCTTGTTATTTTAACACTTCAGAAAAGTCTGTTCAAAATCCTGTATCATTTATTTGCATTTCTTTTTTTTAATCACCTTTTTCTTATCTTTTGATTTCCGGTTTCTTTCTCCCATTGTTGATATAAATGATAATACCTATTACTATTGGAATACGTATGCTATGCATGTATTTCATACTTTATAGATTTAAATATTAATTAAAAACAATATTAATTAAAATGTTTCCCTTTTTTATATAGGAAAAAATGCACTTTTTTGAATAGAATATTGATCAATATCAATTGTATTAATTACACTTTGAAATCCAGCCGTCTAGATGAAAAGAAAGTTTAATATTTAGTAAATTCAGCATTTGATATCATATTTCGATCTCAAAGCCCGCCATGTTTAAAATTTAGAAAATATACACTATCTACCTTTTGAGTAAGTGCATTTACAATAAGGTATAACTACAATCTCATTATACTCTTTAAGTAAGTTTATTTAAAGCACTACACAGCTAATTGTGCCACGTACGTTAAACGTATGTGAAACGTACGTGACTTCACGTACGTTTTCCATGAAAAAAGCACCACGTATGTTATACGTACGTTTTCACACGTGTGAATATCATGCATGTCACGTATGTTAAACATACGTATTGCCTACCATACGTTACACATATATTGCTTACGTACGTTACTCATACGTTTCACATATGAATAACGTACGTGCAACGTGTGTGTAACATACGTTTCTCATAACATGTTTAATGGGTTTATTATTTGCACTGTAAATGTATAAATACCATACAAAAATGTGTCAAACCATTGTTAAACACATGTTTTGAACATTTTTTTTCACATATTGTAAACGTTGGTGAAACAAAAATAACGTGCAATTTAAATATTCAATTCATGAATTTGACATAGTTTCCCTCAAAGGCTTATTTTCTTTTCATCAGTTGAGTGATCCACTTTCTGGTTATCCTTCACTTTAAATTTTCTGATCCTAATTGCCCTTGAAGCAATCACTACAAAAGACATATTTAGATTTAAGCCAAATTTAATGTAGTATGTTAACATCAATTCATTCTTCTCCAGTTCTCTTTTATCTTTAAAGAAAAAGAAAATATTAAATGCATGGAATAAGGGAAAACACATTTTTTCCCCCTGAACATTATTTTTAATTATTATTCCACATATTTATCCTGGTTGATTCTCTGTATAACTTAAATATAAATACTAAATAACAATAAATATTTTTTTTAGTATTCATAACCCTGATCTTTTCAACTATTTTTTTTCACTATATCTTCATATATCTACCTTGTTATTCTCTTATCTAAAGTTCATTACATCATAGCATTGACCTGTGGGTGAACTCGGAAAAAAAGATGTGTCTGTACATACTGATAACCCATATGCCAGCTTATGGTAAAAGTTTCCCAAGTGCAAGTCAAACTCCAAAGTCAAGGTCAAAGGTCAAAATTGTTGACATCCAAGGAAGGACTTGTCACAAAGAATAAATCTGTGAAATATGAAAGCCCTACTTCTATCAGCTCAAAAGTTACGATCAAAGTTAAAAATTTTTAACAGTGGGTTAAACTAGAAGTTCAAGGTCAAATATTTTTATTTATACCTATTGAAAGGTCTTGTCACAGTAAATATACAAGTGAAGTATGAAAGCCCTTGCACCAACTGTTCAAAAGTTAAGGCCAAGATTCAAGTTATGAAACTTTCTTAAAAGTGAGTCTTACTCCAAGTTCAATTCAAAAGGTTAATTTGGTGTACCAATACAAACGTATTGTCACAATGAATACCCAGGTCTGTGAAATATGAGGGCCATACTTTCACCCACTAAAATGATATGGCCAATGTGAAAAGATTTTGCAGACAGACAGACAGGGCAAAAGCTATATAGATGTACCCCAGAATCTTTTATTACAGGGGTATACCAGTAAAACTTATTCCATTTTCATGAACTTAGTCCTTTTGCTTTCAACTTAGGAGAATTATATAGATTTTCAATGAATCAATGCATTTTAAATTTATGATTAATTAATAAAGCTGTGCCTTTACATCTGATCCACCTACCCTGGGGCTATATGAATTTCATTATTTTAGTAGGACTCAATGCTTATTAAAATCTTGTTAATAGTTTGCTTGATGTCCAAATAAAAAATACAATTATGAATAATTTTGATGGGTTAAACCCAACCCTCCCCCCTTAATTTGGGCGGTGGTGGTGGTGGGGGGGGAGGCTGTAAATACTAAAATTTTACCAGACAGAGCACAGTGTATGACAATGGACAACAAGAAACCCAAGGGCCTTGAATCGCTCTTCTAGTAAATTGTACAATCTATCACTAGTATTTGAAGCCTCTATGTTTATAAGACCCAAAATACATCAACCAAGAAAGTTTGATGATTTTTAGCCAGTTAGGACTAAAGATATTTCAATAGAGCTATAAAATACCATAAGTAGGTCATGGTGACCTACTTTTTGGTGGACATTCTCCAAAAACCCAAGATACCTCCACCTACAAAGTTTATCAATTCTAGGACAATTTAAACTTCTTTTGGTTTTATTTTCCTGATTTCTTCCCTTGTATAAGGGTCCAAACCCTACTTTTAGTATAAATGGTAGCCCTTGGGCCAGGGTTGCCCTGTGACAAATTTGACAATTTGTCCAAGGGGATCTTGAGTTTTGGCCCACATTGTAAAAAGTTTATGCACGCTGCACAAAGAGCCATAGCATTAGCTCTTTGAGTCTTTGGCTCAGAAGAGCTAAAAACAGTATACATGTACACGTATTTACTGGCTATGAGGACAACAGCTAGTTAATCGTCCCCCAAGACAGCAACTTTTCCCCAAGATGCAACCGAGGGAAATAGTTTGCTGTCGAGGGAGATGATAAACAAGCTATTTTTCGAATAGTAAGTAAATAGGTGTTTTATTATTGCATCTGATCCCACCTCTGATGTTTCGGGGGTCCGTGTTTGCTCTGCTCTTATTTTGTATTGTTTTATTGACTTTGAGATTGAATACTCTTCGTTATCTCCATATCCTAGACCTTCTATATATACTGAAGCTGAACTAACTTATTTGTAAGGTCCGATATTGATAAAACCAGAAGAGTTACGAAATGAAAAATTGAACTTACATTCTGCACTAATCTTTAGCTTGGCATGGACCCATCTGTTTTTGTGTGTGTTCCAAGTGTATACTTTTTGTCCTTGAGGTAAAAAAAAAAGTCTATGTTAAAAAAAGTAGACGACTTTCACATTAGATTTTACAAAAGTCATTCCCCTTTGCGGGGTCAATACGGCGTAAGGCCATGTTTTCCCTCTGTAACCTTACCAAATTTATTGGTCAGTATCTTAAAACTAAAATCTGTAATGAATATGTTCATTAAGATTTTCATGTTGCCCCAAACTTTGGCAATACAGGTACAGATCTAAATTGTCCAATAACATTTGAAGATTGAAAATAATAACAGGTAACTTACAAAGGACAAAGTGGAAAAAATAAGACTTACGCAGACAAGGGGAGATAACTCTTAGTAGTGTGAAATTCGTCAAACTCGATTGCATTTCAAATTTTACATGAAAAGCTTCAAGTTACATGTAGTATTTGCAAGTCTAAAAGCAATATGATCAGAAAATCTTATTCCTATTTAAAAGTATTACCATATCCAAGATTATACTGGTTAAACTTTCAGAATCTGTTTTGAAGTCCATTCTAGGCATTTAGGTGTTTACAAAGATGAGCTTCAGTCACCATCCTGGAATGCATATATCTAAAATCACATAAAAATTTACAATCTCAAAACGCAATTTATATTCATAAGGATTAAAAAGGGTAGATATTTTTAAAAACAAAACTGTTGCACCATTACTGCACTCAAGGATAATAATTTCCTTTAATATCTAATGTGATGTTTTGAATACTTTTAAAAGAAATAAATTCAGTGAGTGGAACTTTACATCAAAATTTTTGTTGTTTCCTTTTTTTTTGCATCTTATTTCTTAGGTTGAAAACATTTTAAATAAATACTTAATTTTTATAACAGTATTTTAAAACTTCACCTGCATTTTGATATAACGTGCCCGTGTTGATGGATACACCTGGGTGCTGACCAAGACAGCTCACTGCCTCAACATGGTCAATATTTTCTGTTTTTGGTAACCTAAGTCTCCATTATGTAATACACTGTAAAAAACACAGTTATGAAGTAATTAAATAATTGTTGATTTTATGCATTCCTCACCGTTAGCTAGGCCCTAGAACTTGCAGACGTCAGACTTCTCTTCCCAGCGACGTCACTGGTAACGTACATGTAATACATAAATGGAGTCTGGAAAATTCCGGAAGGTATATTCTATAAGTTTTATACGGACGGTACCCACTGTATATTTGATATTTATCATTTGGATCATTTACTCCATTTGAGATTTGTTATGAAATTTTCGTGAAATTCTTTTTTTTATTAATATTATTTAGTTTTGCTCTTCAATTCGGATTCATTATATCTATCAATGACCGAGTTCAATTTTATGTGTCTCTACCCATATCCGATACACATGACGAGATTGGAGAACTTTTTATGTAAACTTTGTTTACTTTTTTAGAGTAAATTTAAACCAATGCGAACTGATAACATCATGCCAGACATGAAAATGGACATATGGTAAACAATATGAAATAAATTGAAACATTAACGACGCAAAACACACACACGACAAGTCAACAACGCACATACGTAAGCTTCAGTTGTCATTGGGTTAAACCAAATATCATAATAATGTTTATGTCAAAAAAAGATTTTTAGATTTTAAAATATGATAATGATTAAGATCGATGCAACTTCTGATCTAAACACCCATAATACATGTTTTATGAAGGATTTTATAGATGGTAACATCACTATGATTTCTCTTTTCCCTGAATAACAGCTAGGTTAAGCCCTAAGTGCCTATTGATTGTTAAATAATATCTTGATTAGTTCTCTAAAATCACTTAAAATACAAAGGAAAAATATCTAGTTTTGGAAGTCCGCCATGCTTTTATACAAAAAGGTTCCTTTATTTTAAACAAAATTATGTAGTCCCTAGCAACAATAAATGTTTAAGGCACTGTTTTTTCTCTTTATACCAAAAACTAAATGATAATTTGATTAATTAATTAAATTTGAAATAAAATAAAAATGATAAGATTTATAGTCAACCTACATTTATCAAACATGTATGTAATAGTATGAATTTACAAAATATACAGCCTTCTCATTCTTAGACATAGCTTTTCACACACATGTAAAATGTAACGTATTTACAATAAATCACTGGGATCGTACCTGGTTACTTCCAGGGTTTGGGGTGTAAAACATAAAGTGATTTAAAATTGATTGGTATGATTAAAAAGGACTGCCGAAATATACAAATACGTCCTAACCTTATCTAGGTTAACAATAATCAAATGGTGAATCAATACAATCAATCAGAGGCAAGCAACAATAAATTATTTGGTAGACCTAATAATAATAATACTAAAATGCAAGGCCAGTCGCCCTCGGACTACCGCATATACTGTAGGATGCCTTATTCAGGACGGACAGTATATGTGATAGCCCTTCAACCACTACACTCACTGTAGGATGCCTTATTCAGGACGGACAATGAGTATAGCGGCCTGGACGGACTGGTCAGCCAATGCAGACGAACTTTATGGCTAGCCTCTTCGCTTGAGGTTAACCTCTGTGGCAGGCCTTACAACTGGTTTGGTAAACCTCAATGGCCTTCCAAATTCTCTCCCTAACTGAATGAACAGGCGAGGAATTAATAATAGTAAAGTTTATTTACTATGCACAGTCTTTGAACACTGTCTATCGTCTTCTCTCCTTGGCTGCATCCGAAGAACAACAACAGATGACTGCGGAGTCTCCGTATATATACACAATCAAAGTCACGTGATGTTAACAATGACTAATTGAAAACTCTGTATGGTCATACCTCAAGATTCCGGAATTGTCACACTACCCATGCCTCCGATGACATGCGTCCCGCATGTACAACTTAAAAACTAAATGATTCTTAACAGATAACAAAATCGAAAGATATGTACAAAAGATTCCCTTTTTTTCATTTTTTTAAAACCACTATATTGAAACTATGTATAACTCTGGTAGAATCAATTATCTTACATGTCAGTCTCATAATCATGTAACCAGATGGGTGGCCTACGAGATCTACTTGGACGACTATTGCTTTCTGGATTAATAGCGGTGGGGATATTATCAAAACTTGCATGATGATCTGAGTCACAGTTTTCTTGACCATCATAATCACCCCTTAATTCATCAGTTTCAACATTCCCTATGTTAACATTTTCACCTGATAGAACTTGCATACGCTTTTTGCGCAATCTATCTACATGAATGACTTGGTCTGAACCCCTTGGTCCACAATTTACAAGATATGTCAAATCTGACATCTTTTTCTTAACCTTGTAAGGACCCTGCCAGAAACTGGTTAACTTGGGCGATGTTCCAGGTTTTCTTCTTGGGAAATAAACATACACCTCCTCGTTGGGTTCAAACTTTTTCCACATCAACTTGCGGTCATGATAATGCTTTTGTCTCAACATTGACTGATTCATTTTGGCCCTAACAAAGGAGTGAGCCTTCTCCAGACGTTCCTGCAACTCCCATACCCATTTATTACTTGGCGTATCTTTTATTTGAGGTGGCATCTCATATTGGAGATCCAATGGTGTACCAACCTCCCTTCCAAACATCATCATGTTCGGTGTCATGCCAGTAGTTTCGTGTACTGAACTGCGGTAGGCCATCATAATGAAAGGTAAGTGCACATCCCAATCATTATGATGATCGTTCACAAACGCAATGAGCATTGTTGTGAGCGTTCTGTTAAAACGCTCAACCATCCCGTCCGACTGGGGATGGTACGGGGTGGTATGCGTTTTCTGGATGTTCAGTAATTTACACATTTCCTTGAAGAGAGTACTTTCATATTGTGGTCCTTGGTCTGAATGAACCACAGCTGGTACTCCAAATCTTGTGATAACCTCCTCAACAATCTTTGCTGCTACTGTGGACGCTTCCATATTAGGTATTGCAAAACATTCAGTCCACTTTGTGAAGTAGTCTGAAACTACTAGGATATATCGATTTCCACATGCAGTCACAGGTAGCTCTCCAAGAAGGTCTGTGGCAATTCTTTCAAATGGATAGCCAGAATATACCAACTTCATTGGAGCCTTGTTGCTTGGGATAGGTGATTTCCGCCTTGTACATACTTCACAACCAGCAATGTAGGAATGTACGTCTCTTTGCAGAGCAGGCCAATAATAAGACTGTCGAATTCGGGCAAGTGTTTTGTGAATACCAAGATGGCCTGCAGATCTACAATCATGGTAGTACTTTAACACGGTTCTCCTTTCACAACTGGGAACAATGGCTTGTAGAATATCTTGCCTCGTGGTCAAATCAGTCCATTTCCTGCAGAGAACTTCATCATTTATGACAAGCCTGTCCCACTGGGAACAAAGAGACTTCACAGTGACCGACTCTGATGACACGACATCTTTGCTTGGTCTACTTTTGAGTGATAACCAAGCTTTTACTTTTGATATGTCTTTGTCATCATCCTGTAGACATTTCAAAGGCTTCTGCTGAAACAACTGTTCATCCACTTTGGCACTACAGATACTCATGTGGTCAGTAACACAATGCTCAGCCTTACATTGTTTACAAGGTGCTCGACTAAGGCTGTCCGCATTGCCATGCAATCTTCCCGGTCGATGTTCAATGGTAAAGTCATATGAAGACAGAACATCCATCCATCGGGCAAGCTGTCCCTCAGGATCTTTAAAGTTTATTAGCCACCTCAGTGAGCTATGATCTGTACGTAAAGTAAATTGACGACCATACAAGTAATGCCGGAAGTATTTCACAAAATGAACGGCTGCCAATAATTCTTTCCTGGTAACACAATATATCTTTTCAGATTTTGTCAGACTCCTGCTTGCAAAAGCAATAGGCCGCTCAATATCGTCTTGTATCTGAGACAACACTGCACCGATAGCAAAACTGCTGGCATCAGTGTCCAAAATAAACCTTTCACTGAAATCTGGATGGGCCAGGACTGGTGATGTTGACAATTCTTTGCGAAGTAGATCAAATGCTTCCTGGCATTTGTCACTCCAAATAAAATGTGCTCCTTTCTTTGTTAGGTCATGAATTGGCTTAGCTATTGTTGCAAAGTTTGCTACAAAACGTCTGTAGTAGCTACAGAACCCGAGGAATGACCTGAGCTCTGATACATTGGAGGGAACTTCCCATTCTTGCACAACCTTTATTTTATTTGGACTTGTTGATATCCCCTTTTGAGACACAATATGTCCCAAATATTCAACCTCTGACGCAAACAATGTGCATTTTCTGGCTTTCAACTTAAGGCCAGCTGCTACTAAACGGTCGAACACTTGAGTTAGATTTTTGATCATATCATCTACAGTTTCGCCGACTACAATGATATCATCCAGGTATACAAGGCAAATTTGCCATTGCAGACCTCTCAAGACCGTTTCCATTAATCGCTCAAAAGTCGCCGGGGCGTTGCAAAGCCCAAAATGGCATGACTTTGAAATTGTATAGACCCTTTTTGGTTGCAAACGCTGTCTTATCTCTGTCTTGGGAAGCCACTTCAACCTGCCAATACCCTGCGTTAAGATCTAAGGTTGAAAAATATTTCTTTCCTGACAGCTGATCAAGGGAGTCGTCTATTCTTGGGAGTGGGTATGCATCTTTAATGGTAACATTATTTAACTTCCTATAGTCGACGCAAAACCTTGTGCTCCCATCCTTCTTCTTTACTAACACGACTGGGGATGACCATGGACTTGTGCATTCCTCTATTATTTCCCTTTTCAGCATATCATTAACGTGACGGTCCGTTTCCTCTTGCATATGAACGGGCATGCGCCTTGGAGGCTGTTTAATTGGTGTGGCTGTTCCAGTATTAATGGTATGCTCGGTAACTTTTGTTTGACCTAAATCAGCATCTGAGGCAGCAAACAGGTGTGAATACTTCAAAAGCATGTTTTTAACAGCCTTGGCATTATCTGCTGTCAATCCTGTAACTGACCTTGCGTACAAATCCTTAAGATGGTCAGGCAATTTTCTCTTCTTGTCTTGTAAGTAACTGGTTTTATCATAGACGTTGTCAATGTCAGACAAAGTAGCTACAAAAGTTCCTTTATATAAGGTTTGTGTTTCTGCAGAAGGATTCATCAATCTAACGGGCGCTACTTTATTGCCTTCTACTAAAGTTCTGGCCACTAAACCTCTATCAGATTCTAAGAAACGATCAGACGACTCTACGATACCAAATTGTGGTATCTTCTCAAAGACAGGAGGTATGACATTCCCAATGGTAATAATTTCACTGTAAGGCGGAACATTGACATTCTCAGCTAAGGTTATCCTACAACAACCTATCTTGCCCTCAAAAACTAATTTTTCACGCTTGCCCTTAATAATCATACAAGAGTTTGTCAAATCAATCAAGCAATCATTGTTCGTCATAAAATCAAGCCCAAGTATACCGTCAACACCAGTGTCGGCTACAGCAAATGTTTGGCTAAACGTTGAGTCCGCTATTGTAAAAGAAATTGAAAGAGACCCTTCCACTTTCATGGCAGTACAATCAGCCAGTAGGATGGGCTTGCTCACCTCATTAAGTCTTGGGTGCTGATCCTTAAGAACAGAATGTAGTATGTCTGGTGAAATAATACTGAGGGTCGCACCAGTATCTACAAGTAGTTTAACCCTATAGCCATCAATAACTGCTTCGATAAAAATCCCAGCTTCCCCAGCTTTTCGACTAATGCCTGTCTTGTTGGCTGTGCTATCCTTTTGCTTAGCATTCTGATGTTCACTTCTTAAAGGCGCTGGCCTTTGGCTTTTGCTGGCATTTGTCATGCCTTGTATCGCATTTTTATACTTGAAACAGTTCTTCTTCACATGGCCTTTCTTTTTGCAGTAATGACAGGTCACACCAGGAGAGGATGGCTGTGTAGAGTTTTGCTTCTCCATTCTCATCTTCATAGATTGCATTTCCTTTTTGATATCCTGGACTGCTTTCAGTAGGGAGGTAATTGTATCTCCTTGGTCTGCCTTTTCCTCTGGCTTCATCTCCCTCAAATATCCTTTGCTCTCTGTCAAACGTCGTTCAGCTGAATTGAATGCATCTAATTCAACGGCATGCCTGATTGCGTCATTCAAGTCCACTGGCCGGGCTTGTTTAATGCGCAGTCGCATGTCGCTTTCCCTTAAGGCATCAATGAACTGTTCTTTCGCCAGGGTTTCTCTCACTTCCACAGGAGCTGTTGGGTAGGCCAGGTTTGCCAGACGACGCATGTCATGTCCAAGCTCTGGTAATGACTCTGTAGCCTTTTGCCTTCTTTCCCTCAACTGAGCCCTATATAATTCAGTCTGATTGGACGGTAAAAATCTCTCTTCAAGTGCCTTACTTAAAAGTCTGTAGTTACATCTGTCTACAGCCGGCAGATTTCCAAGGACACTCTGTGCTTGACCTCTTAGGGCAACGGCTAAATACATCCCCCTCTCAGCCAAAGTCCATCCGTTTAGTTCTGCACAAACATCGAAGTGAGACTTAAAATCAGCCCATGACGAACTTCCATCAAATTTATCTGGTTTCACCATGGCGTTTTTCCGTTTGTCAGCCTGTGTGATATTCTCAGGACGGCGGGTTGTAATGTTTGCCTCATTCAACAATGGGAAGTCATGCCTGGATGTATAAGCATGGTATGGTGTACTCGTAACGGAAAACCTATCTGGCTCGCCACCATCATCTCTTCTCATTTCGCTAAGGTTGTCAGGCCTAGTATACATACTTGGTAGGGTGGTCGTCCTATTCGTTTTAGGTCTTACACCCTCACCTAAATCTATGGTAGTCCGCCTACTTTCAGGTAATCCTGAATCTCTGGCGGCCGTCTTTGCTCGTTCTTTATTTATACTGGCCTGAAGCTTGCTTAGCTCCTGCTCTAAGGCAGTCATTTCATCATCCATAATGTCACTCTCAGACATATCGAAAAATTGCAAAATAAACTTTAACTACAATTAACCAGGACAAAAACTACATAATAATAAACTTTAATGATTTAATGCAACCCCAAATCCCACCGCTGCCACCAAATTTTTGTAACGTATTTACAATAAATCACTGGGATCGTACCTGGTTACTTCCAGGGTTTGGGGTGTAAAACATAAAGTGATTTAAAATTGATTGGTATGATTAAAAAGGACTGCCGAAATATACAAATACGTCCTAACCTTATCTAGGTTAACAATAATCAAATGGTGAATCAATACAATCAATCAGAGGCAAGCAACAATAAATTATTTGGTAGACCTAATAATAATAATACTAAAATGCAAGGCCAGTCGCCCTCGGACTACCGCATATACTGTAGGATGCCTTATTCAGGACGGACAGTATATGTGATAGCCCTTCAACCACTACACTCACTGTAGGATGCCTTATTCAGGACGGACAATGAGTATAGCGGCCTGGACGGACTGGTCAGCCAATGCAGACGAACTTTATGGCTAGCCTCTTCGCTTGAGGTTAACCTCTGTGGCAGGCCTTACAACTGGTTTGGTAAACCTCAATGGCCTTCCAAATTCTCTCCCTAACTGAATGAACAGGCGAGGAATTAATAATAGTAAAGTTTATTTACTATGCACAGTCTTTGAACACTGTCTATCGTCTTCTCTCCTTGGCTGCATCCGAAGAACAACAACAGATGACTGCGGAGTCTCCGTATATATACACAATCAAAGTCACGTGATGTTAACAATGACTAATTGAAAACTCTGTATGGTCATACCTCAAGATTCCGGAATTGTCACATAAAACACCTTTTTAAATGTATATGTAACATGTGGCTGATAATACACATACTTTATTCATCAACATATATATGTAATGAAAGCTTTATAATACAAGTTAACCATAATTTATTTATATACATTAGTACATTTAACGTGTGGTTTATAATACACATACATGTAAACAATGCATGAAATTTGTGCTTTATAAAACACATGTAAACCATGAGTTCATTAACGTTCGTGTAACATGTGATTGACTATACACATGTAAACCATGTGTTCATAAATGTACGTGTTACATGTGGTTGACAATACACATGTAAACGGTATGTTTATTAACGTACGTGTAACGTATGGTTGCACATAACATATGCTACACGTACGTTTCACGTACGTATCACATATGTGTATTCCAAACATACGTTTCACGTACGTTATGTGAAACGTATGTAGTCAAACATATGCTATACGTACGTCGTACCACATACGTGAAACGTATATTTATAATACACGTATGTGATACGTACATTTCACATACATGATACATGTGTTATGTACAACCATATGTAACACGTACGTGGCACAATTAGCTGTGTAGATAAAGCTCTTTTTTTCTTTTACTATATATATTAGTCTATTTACAGTTAAATATAAATAAAATCTCAATCTTTTTTTAAGAGAGTGTATCTCCTGTCTCTTGTTTTATCGTAGTTTTGGATTAAATTTTTCAATTATACAATATTCGGGCCATATAAAAATAATTATTTCGAAAGAATGTTTCTTAATAGGTGTTATAAATTTATTGTAACATTTATTGTTTTGTTAATATTTTTCTAAATTTTAAATGAAATATAAATTTATTCTTTTGAATGTACCAAGCAATAAAGGTAGAAATATCGAATAGGAAATTAATAAGAGAATTAAGTCTAAAAAATAATTTATTTATATATGTTTTCAAAAATTTTGTTTTATAAAAGAAAAGTCAGATAATATATTCAAGTACTTTCTTTTTAAAACCACAAAATGCAAAACTGGGGAAAATGCTAGCAATGCACTCTGTGAATAAAAGTTTATTCTTGTTTTTTTTTTTTTAATTTGGAAATAAAACACCAATGTTTATCTCTAAAAACTACCAATGAATTGGAGATATCTGTGTTGCAAAAATAGCATTTAGATAAGTGTTAGGCGAGCTTGTGTAGTAAAAATGGGTCCATTTTAATTCTGACATATACGTATGCTTATTCAGGTTTTATCTTTGAAAAGATACATCTTTGTTATATTCATTATGATTAATTATCACATAAAGTATACCAAGTTGAAAAACAGCTTTTATACTTTAAACCATAAAAGTACGAGGATGAAAAAGCAATTGATTCTATTCTTAGATTCTTTTTTTAGATTCTGGGATCGATCGTTTATCACCATTAAAGAACTTTATTCGGTATTAACCAATATTTGCCCCCCTAATCAAACTTTGATGGAGATATATTTAATTATGTTCTTAAACAGGGGAGTATATGCTGACTTCAAAGCACTGAATATTTTCATAATTCTATAATCTTTCTTTTCACAAAATATAAAAAAAATTCAAATAAACTCATAAGAATTTTTTTCACTGACAATTAACCCCGGTCAAGTTGCATTACTTAAGATCCACTCCCCTAAAACCTTCTAGATATCAGATAAGGAGTGCCTCTCGCTTAGTTGGTCAGTTTCAGTGTCAGGATAACCTTGTTATGCAATTTTCTTGCTGGGAAGAGTATAGCTGTTTGCAGCTTATCTAGGTCAAAATTTGAATTTAACTGATGGACAAGAAGTGCGCGTCTCCTTGCTGTTCATATTTAATGTGTTTTCAAGCAATATACACAAGGATTAAGGCTGGAATATCAATTTCTGCTCAGTAAGTATTATTTCCTTTTCATGAATTTAAGAAATTAAGCTTTTTTTCAGTATCTGTTCATCATTAAATTCTTGTTTTATAAGTATATTTGAAACCTTCGTGAAATGCACATCGTTGGTTCTTGTATTATGTGTTTTGTTGATATTCATTTGGTTGTGAAATATAAGCTAGTATACTAATATATTATACAATTTAACTAATTGTAGTTCGTCGTAAGGTTAAATCAACCAGTGGTGCAGGGAATTGATTGTATAGTCAGCCTTGATTGCATCAGATTCTTCGCCCGTGAAAATTATACAAAGGAATGCAAAATTTTGTAAGTACACTATGTATATGTATGTCTATAACATTTTTCTTTAGTAATAATTATTTATAAGCATACTCATACGAATTTTAACATGAAGTCAACTATAGTTCTTTTAATCATGTTAGTTAAATCCAAGTACCGGAATATATTCCTTTGTCTGCTTTTTAAATCATTCATGTATATTTATTTTTATCGTTTGAAATAACATGTTACGTACATTTTATCGAACAAATAACTTTAACATCTTTATTTCTTTTATCAATAGGCTTTTGCTTTAGAGGGTGGATTCTCCTGTTCATTTCTTTCATTCGTGGGACTTAATTATATGCGTGATTAAAGTCAATGGATCCGCCACTTTGTGGAACTTAGTAGTGTAAGGCAGACGCGTACTTTGAAGGACCTGGATGTGATTACTGTGACCCACTTTTCGCTAGGAATATAAATTTTTGTCAAGCAGTGATTTTTGAGATTCAGTGATTGAATCCGAATTTGTGTTTGTCTTTAAAATACATGTAAAATAAATTCTCTCACAATCATTATACTGGATTACAACTTATCTAAATATTACGCAACTTGAATAAATTTTTTTATTAGAATTTGAAATGTATTAGTTTATGAAGCAAAATGTAATATGAATTCAACATGATTTCAACCAAATATCAACGTTTGTACAACCGAAAAATTTCAACCAAATCTCAACCTAATTTCAACCAATGTTCACTTTTGTTCAATGTTGATATTTGACGTTGAAACAACGTTGAAGCTTCAACGTTCCCTCAACTTTCATTTGCAACCAAAAATCAACCATAAATCAACCAAAAATTCAACACATTTTCAACGTTTATTCAACGTTGAAACAACGTTATGTCTCAACGTTGACTCAACTTTCATATGCAACCAAAATTCAACGTTGATTCAACGTTGAAGTGCAACGTTGATTCAACGTTGAATCAACGTTGAAATGCCTGCTGGGAATGTTGGCCCAACAATGTAAAACCAATGTATGTTATCAAGACAACTTATGTGATATTAAGGTACATTGGGCCAACATCGGCCCAACAACAAATAACTGACATATGCATATATATTGCCACTAAGAGCATAATGTCTAACATTGGCCCAATGTTGGTCCAATCATGTTATACAAACACCAACCTTGACCCAACAGACCGTTACTCTACCAACGTTGGGCCAATATATGAATGCTGACTTGGATGAGTTCGTAAGAATTCTTTTTATCTGTTACACATTTAGGGAAAATAACAAAAGAACTGCAACACCCTCTTTTTGTGGGTTATACTGTTCAATTTATGTTAAGAAATTGTTTTTTTCGTGATAAGGCAAATGCAAACAAGTTGTCGTTCTTTTAATATGAGGTCCGACGTGGATGGTGTTTGTCAATGATGAGCAATCACATAAGTTTAAAGGGGATTTCAGTTCAATGATTGTAAATATTTTTGTATGTTCATCTCACTGTTGATCGGACACAAGTTATTAAGCATTCAAAATCATAATTAAATCTCAATTCATTGATTAATATTTTTTAAAAATAATATTTTTGCAATTTTTTAAACCTAACTGGGAAATCGATTTTTACATAAATTCCGTGTATACACACGCGCATAAAAATACAAAGAGAATCTCAAGCTAAAGTGACGACATAATGGGGCTAAAAAACGTTGAAATCTAAACACTGAGTTTATTTTTGCAGCTCTTAAAAAGTAAAATGTCAAAATAAGGAATGTTTGTGTAAAATCTGGTCTGTAAATCACTAGACTTTGAAAATGGTATACTTTTTATACAGCGCCGGCTGCTTAAAGAAATATGCCTAAGTGTTACATATGTCATATGTAAGTCTAAAATCTCACTTATAATCTAAATATTTTTATTTTTGATGCTTATACATTTATGTGTTGTAAATGGTGATAATAAATATATGTCTTGATTTATTTGACTTCGATTTGTGAAAAGATTCTGGATCCACACCTGGACAACAACGTTTTGTGAAATTGCTGGTCATTTTTGTCCAATTTCATCTATCTGTCTCAGAACATAAACCAGAAAATGTGTGATTCTCTTCTTCTAAAAGATCATTACTTATTCATCTTTAAAAAGAAATGATGGTTAACTATTTACATAAGTTCTAAAATTTAAGATCAATGTTGACTATTTAATTCACTGTACGTATTGGACTTTTCGTTTTCATGTCGGACTTAAATACAATATTTATATCCACAATTTTCCCACTAATAATAATAAATCTCATATCATGAAAAGCCTTTCAGTAGCTTGTTCTAGTTGCTTGAACCACTGCAGAAGACATGAGAACTTTAATTGAGTGAACATCATTTATCGACCAGAAGTGAACGAAAGTGAGCAAAAGCACAAAAATATACAATTATATAAATTATAGCTGGGATACGGGCAAATAATGAATAGTTTCAACTGAGATATGATATATTGCGACTTATTGTTTATCCCAGCTATTGTTAGATAACGATTACAAAGTTCGTGACTAAGGTGACTAAGGGGACGACACATTTTGTCTGAGAGGGGTGGGGGCTAGCAGATTTTTGAAATAAATAATCTGTCCCTGCAAATATTGAAAATAAATAATCTTTCCTCCACTACAGAGAAAAATAAATAATCTGACCTTGACTAACGATATTTAAATATTGTGAAAAATACCTTTTTTTATTTACGTGTAATTTAATCTCAAAAGTCTTCAATTTAAAAAAAATTTTTTGCTCGCTTCGCTCGCCATTTTAGAACCAAATAGTATTTAAAATTAGATTACCAGACTGGATATTTAAGTCAGTTTGACAACATGACAATGTGCATTTAGTAGGTTTGATAAATTAGAGTACTTTAAATATAAGCCATTTCTTATACACTACAAAAGATAAATTTTCTTGTCGAAGAATTACACTTCCCCGAAAAATTAATACAAAATATACACAGGTGGATTTATATGGGACGTACATGTGTACAACCCCTCCCCTAAAATTTCAAAGTATGATAGGAATAATAATAATAATGCCATACTTTGGGACAATACCAACAATTTTTGCCTAGTTTTACTCTTAAAATACACAAAAACCCTAGAGCTTTAGGGGGCTTTGCCCCCTGGGCCCTTTTCATTCAAAATATGATATGATTAGTATTAATAATGTCATAGTTTGGTATATATCTAACCAATTCCTACACAATTGTGTCTGGGTTTACTCTTTAACACACAGAAAAACACAAGAGCTGAACCCCCTTCATTCAAAGTATGGTATGGCCAGTATTAATTATGTCATACTTTGGAACAAAATAACCAATACCAGTATAATAGTGCCTGCTTTTACTCTTAAAATACAACCCAAGAGCTTCGGGTTGGGGGGGGGGGGTTACTCCCTTAGCCTCCACCGGGGCTTCACCCAGGGCCTGGTGGCCTTACGGCGGCCCAAGATCTCTTGCCTAAACGAAGTTATACACGCCCCTCCCCAAATCCTTGTCTGCCTATGGTATATCAATGATTAGTCTTTTAGAATCAATTGATCATGGTACGGGGAGACAAGGAAGAAAATAAATAATCTGTCCTTGATAATCTTTAAAATAATTTATCTGTCCTCGACAGGCATGAAAATAAATAATCCGTCTCAAAAAAAAATTGCCAGCCCCCCCCCCCCCTCAGGATCAAATGGTCGTCCCCTAAACAAAGAGACCACTTTAGTTGAGAGAACTTCATTTATAGACCAGATGAATGACGAAAGTGAACAAAATCACATAAATATACAATGATATAAATTATAGCTGGGATAAGGGCAAATAATGAATAGTTTCGACTGAGATATGATATATTGCTTATCCCAGCTATTTTTATATAATGATTACAAAGTCTGTGTAACAAGAAGGTGACGTAAACAAAGAGACCACATGGCATATTAAATGCTTGCATGACGCATGCAGCGCCTCCAAAGGAAAGTCATTTTATGAATAAGACGATGCTGGTCAAGTAACAGCAGCAAAAATGTAGCATAACATTGTGAACTGGATAACATGTTCCTGTGAAGACTAAATAAGCATAAGCATAAAAAACAAGATGTAGACACTGAGTTATATCTGAATAAGTAACAAAACAAGTAGAGATTTCTAAAAAAAAAAAAAAAAAAAAAAAAAAAAAAGCTTGCCGTCATTAGCAATAAAAAAAAATGATAAAAGTCCGTCTCTTAAATCAATTTTTACGAAAGCATCCTTTTCTACTAACAACAACAAACCAGCAATCATCAATAGATGCAACAAGCCAAGATGCAGTACTTGTCCATACCTGACAGAGGGATCTAAATTTCAGTTTTAAATCGGAAGCAAATTTAAAATTAAAACATCAATGTCATGCACAAGCTCTAATCTTATTTATGTGATAACCTGTGCCGGTTGTGGTGAAAACTCTATCGGCCAGACAGGAGACACCCCGAGACATAGAATGACCGTACGCCGACAGCAAATTAGAGAACCAAAATACCAGTGTACCGTCGTTAGCGAAAACATGAGAACTGTGCCAATTTTATAAACAGACATAAGCCTGATTTAAATGCAACATAATTATATTTCGTTTAAGAAATATTTTTACCCTCATTATGTAACTGTACTATTTTTGTCCCCCGCTTTCGCGAAAGCGAGGGGACATTAAATCTCATTCGTCTGTCTGTCTGTCCGTCAGTCTGTCAGTCGGTCAGTCTGTCCGTCACAAAAACTTTAACCTTGCCCATAACTTTAAATTTAGTGAAGCTATGACATTCATTTTTCACATGTGTATTCCTTGTGACAAGACCTTTCATTGGGTACCACCAAATTTGACCTTTTGACCTTGACCTTGGAGTTTGACATACTTTTACACAAAAATTCCAAACTTTTACTTTGGCCATAACTTTTGAATAGTAGGTACTAGGACTTTCATATTTCACATATTTATTTTTCGTGGCAAGCCCTTTCATACACATGTAGGATAACAACAACCTTGACCTTTTGACCTTGACCTTGGAGATTTACGTACTTATGAAAAAACTTTAACCTTGACCATAACTTCTGAACGGTGAGGACTAAGGTTCTTGTACTTCACATATGTAATTCTTGTGAGATGACCTTTGATTGGATACCAACAACTTTTACCCTGTGACCTTGACCTTTGAGTTTTAACTACTTTTTAAAAACTTTAACCTTGGTCACAACTTTTAAACAGTGGATACTAGGACTTTTATATTTCACATATGTATTCCTTGTGGCAAGACATTTCATTGGATACCAACAACCTTGACCTTTTGACATTGACCTTGGAGATTTACGTACTTTTGAAAAAACTTTAACCTTGACCATAACTTTTGAACGGTGAGGGCTAGGGCTTTCGTACTTCACAAAAAACCAACTTCAATGTTACTTTCTTAATAAATTACATATGATAAGATGTTCACATTACACACAATAAGTTATAAAAAATAACATCTCACCCACAAAGACACCGAAAGCGGGGGACCTCAATTCTTTGAATTTGCTTGTTATAAAAAAACTTATTTCCCGTAATAACATACTTACGTATTATCATGACGTCATAATGAACTTTGCTAAAGTGCGACTTAGTATTGGCGCTTTATGGCGTCATATATGTATATCTCAGGGTTTTTTTTCTCAGCTGAGTCGGAAAAATCTTTGGTTACACACGCAATTGATAAAAATCTCAGACTCGAGAAAAATCTCAAATATAAGAAAAAAAACTCAA